CAGCAGGGCTGAGTAAGCTTTGAAGAATTCCTTCTAGCAGACTGAAATCTCATAGATGCTTATTCCCAAAATGTGTGTAAGGAAGCAAGGAAGTAAAACAAATATAGGAGTATGATAACTTAAGCATAAGAAACTTTGAGGGATTTAGTTCTGGGAATGAGTGTGAGGATTTTAGGAATCTAAATGTCTCCTTGGGGAACAGTGTCTGTACCAACGACATTGCTTCTTGTAGCAGTACACACAAAACAAAGTTTAGGTTCTCTTCATCTGGTTACTTAAAGCTAAAGCCTACACCTTTTCATGAACGATTGCACTGTGAAATATTCCACCTATCTGATGAAAAGACACTACTACAGCTTGAATAGTTGACCATTATCTTCACAGTGACTTGCCAGGGAACCAACTCCAGGCTGAGAATGAATGACAACTCTATTTCACAGGTCGTGTCTGAAAGGTGAATAGAATGAACTGAACCATCTGCAAACACAACTGATTGTAAGTGGACAACAGCTACCTTGAGAATGGCTGGCAAGCACTGACTTTCACCTTAAAACTATGAGCGTAAGAAAAAGTCTCTAGGATTTATGCTCCTCCATCTTTTGATTTTTTTCATTTTCTTTCTTCTTTACTCTTCACATGAGTCTGTGTTATAGTTTGGCTGCAGCCGTCAACAAAAGCGCCACGTGGCTGCCCCTCACCGCAGGGGTGCAGGGGAGAATGGAAAGAAACAGGCAGAAACTGGTGGGTTGGGATAAGGGCAGTTTAACAGAACAGCAGACAAAGGGAACAGGAACAACAACAATACCAATAAGGGGAATACACAAAACAAAACAGACCGCATAACAGAGCTGCTCTCCCGAACCGCCACCACTGCGCGCTCCTGAGCCACGAGAGAGTTCCCGCTGCCCAACTCCCCCCCACCGGAACCCAGCATGACGGCACATGGTATGGAATACCCTGCTCTGTTTGGCCAGGTGGGATCAGCCCGCCCGGCTGTGTCCCTTCCTAGATTCTGGTGAAAATTAACCCTGTTCTGGCCGAACCCAGGACAGTCTGTGACCCGTGTTGTCAGTCACCCCTTGGGGTTAGGTATTCGTTCTTCTTGTTATTTCGGTTTCGATCGTTTCTTTGCTCTGTTGCTAGTTTACCCACAGCCCCCTGAAACCAGCCTCTTGCATTTCTGTTGCCAGAGAACCCCCCAGGGCCTTGGCCAAGGGCTTCTGCTCCGTCCTCCCTCCAGCAGAAGGCTTCACTTTGTTCTTGTTAGTCCCCAAAAGGACAGGCTGCTTTGCCCACTTGTTTCATCCAGCTGACCATAACACCCCTCTTTTAACAGCTCTGTCCCCTGCCAGAAGAGCTGCTTGCTCTCTCTCTCTCCCTCTCTGTCTCGGGGTTCACAGCAAAAGCCAGTCGATACCCTACCCGTATCTCTTGCTCAGTTCTTCACAGCTATGGACTGTGGAGTTATTGCCCTATTCTGCGAGCACAGAAATAACATAGCTCTTTATTTACCCCTTCAGATGCGTATAAACGTCTGTCCTCTCCCTTCTGGCCTCCCTGTGACCTCCAGTGAATTTATGGATTCACTGCGTCTTTCTGCAAGACGGAGCCACACTGGTCTTTCTATCGGGACAGAACTTGTAAGGACAAGGATTCCTGGCCTGACGTTGGCTGGTTGTTGGCTTGTGGAGTTGTACGCTGGAGGAGACAGAGCTGTAGTAGTTCATGCTGCAGAGACAAAGCACTTGGCTAAGATCCCTTGTAAACACGCTTACTGACAGAGGAAACTGAAAGGCAACAATCCTGAAGAAGCAGTGGAGAAAATGTTAATCTGTTCTTGAACAAGGTCTTTGATTTGTTTTTGTAAAGAAGGCCAAGCACTTTCTCCAATGAGAAACTCAGGGAAGCCCAAGAGAAGCGATATCCACTGTGTGGATGTTCTTGCATGAGAACTGTCAGTGTGACACTTGCACGTACACCAGATTATCCAGAGATCACAGTCGCTTGGTTAATAGGTTTATGCCTCTTGCAGACTATCACTTACAGACTCGCTCTTCCTTCAAGAGTCGCCTTCCCTCGGGCAGGTGGTGGAAAAGGTGACACCGTGCCAGGGAGGTGTGAATGGAGGAAGAGGCTGTTACCTGCTGGTCTCTGTCCAAGGCGCCTGCTGTGAGAAAGAATGAAGCGTAAGAGTACTTGGTACACTGGCTTCCTCCTGTTCTCCTCCTGAGGCATCACACCTTTGCCTTGCAGAAGTGTCTTGCAGACGTGGGGAACGGGCTCCCTGCACCCGCCATTCAGTAGAGGCTATGAAGATCTGAGGATTTTTTCTGAGTTTTCTTGTCTTAGTTTTCTTGTCTTTGTCATTATTGCTTAAGAGGTGCACTGACACTACGTGCTTACTCCTCCACGCAATCCCGAGTTCAGCACCATCTCCTTTCTATCTTAGAATCATAGAATCATAGGTTAGAAAAGACCTCTAAGATCATCAAGTCCAACCATCCACCCAA